GAAATTCCAAAGTCATAAAAGAAAGTATAAAGAATTGTTTCAGAAAAAAGGAAAGGAAGAGACAAGACAACATAATGAAACATGTAATCCTAGATTGGCTACTGAACAAGACATGGGACACAACTGAAACTTTTGGTGAAATTTGAATAAGTCAATAGCTGGATAATGTCAATATATTAATGTTAATTTCTTGATTTTATCATTGTACTGTAGTTATGTAAGATGTTAACATTTGGAGAATCTGGTTAGAGGACACATAAAAATTCTTTGCACTATTTTTAGAATGTTTCATTCCAAATGAAAAGATATAAAGTTTTTTTTCTTTGAGATAAGTGTCTCCCTCTGTCACCCTGGGTAGAGTGTCAATGGAGTCAGAGCTCACAGCAACCTCAAACTCTTGACTCAAGAGATCTTCCTGCCTCAGCCTCCTGAGTAGCTGGAACTAAAGGGGCCTGCCACAACACCTGGCTAGTTTTTCTCTTTTTAGTAGAAATGAGGTCTCACTTTTGCTCAGGCTGGTCCCGAACTTTTGAGCTCGGGCAAGGCTCCCACCTCGGCCTGCCAGAGTGATGGGATTACAAGCATGAGCCACCACATCTGGCCAAAATAAAAAAAAATTAATCTAATTTTAGAGATTAAAAATTACAACCAAGAGTAGTCAGAGCTATAAAAACTTAGGATATCTCACATTTAAAAAGTATGATTTTACTGAAATACAAGAAACAATTCTTCCACCAAACAACCTTTGATGTCACCTATTTCTGAGACTGCAGTGGCTATCAATTCACCAACTATAATAAAGATAAATTTCTCATTAGTTCGCTGTTTGAAACCCTTTTCATTTCTGTATCATTTGGCTTTATATTTAGAAAATATTCCCTATTCTACAATGTTTAGAATCCTGCCAAAACCGCCACTCTACTTACTATTACTTTCAGGCACTGGCCGGGCTATGAAAAATGTTTAAGCAATACCTTTATTACACTCAATTTCAGAGATCCTTGGATCTACTTACATATTGTTACCAAATACAAGAAATGGCCATGAAATTCTGGAATGTGGATAATAAAAAGATCTCACGCTCTAAGTTCACATGGCTTTAAAGACAATGGAATCTACGGTTCATGGCTATTGATCAGCTATTCTGATTTCACGGCTTCCAAGACCAGTCTATGGCCCCTTCAGTTCTTTTCACCCTATAAATCCCAGAAAGTTCCTCTCCCACGTTAGTGGACTTAAATCCTGCTGAGCAAAAGAGACTTTACACTAGTCCAGAAAACACCTCACATAAATTCTTCCCCTAGAATAATGTATCCCAAAACAGAGTAGGTATTCAATAAATACTCAAAGTTTTCCCTTTTGTTTTTGGTGGAGCATGTTTCTAAGAGAAATGAGATATTTCCATAATCAATCAAAAATACCTTATCCCAAACCACTTGAGCCAATTGTCATGCAAACTGGATCCCTTGCATGTGTGTTTATAGTGGGGTTCATGTTCCTATGAGAATCTAATGCACACTCTTGATCTGATAAGGCAGTGGATCTCAGGCAGTGACACAAGCAATGGGGAGTGGCTACAGTACAGAGGAAGCTTCCCTCACTCACCTGCCACCTGCCGTTCACCTCCTCCTGTGCCACCCAGCTCCTCACAGACACCTTGAGCCTTGCCTTTTCCACTTTCTCCAATCAAAGAGGTAAATAATAAATGCATCTGCTATGTATCTATTAATAACATATGTCTCAACAACTTCCTTAACATCTGCTAATCCTTACTACCAGTTTAAAAGATTCTGAACTTAATCTAAACCAAAAAAGTAAATAAATATAATTCTGACATTCTGAAAATAAGTGGTGAAGCTAATTTTCACTTATCTTTCAAAAACATACACTACAGGGAAGGAGTGCAGAAGAGGTAAATGGCCAAAATTAGCTGTATCTGTTCTATAATTATATCCAACTTTGTACAACTCCTGCAAGCACATAAGCAGAGAAACTTCTTCATTTTATTTCTATACTGTTTTGAGTTTTATATCATGTATTAATATTAATCTTAAACCTAGTTCATTTTTTTTTCTTTTTTTTTTTTTTGAGACAGAGCCTCAAGCTGTCCCCCTGGGTAGAGTGCCATGGCATCACAGCTCAAAGCAACCTCCAACTTCTGGGCTCAAGCGAGTCTCTTGCCTCCGCCTCCATAGTAGCTAGGACCAGAGGCGCCCGCTGCAAGACCTGGCTATTTTTTGGTTGCAGCCGTCATTGTTGTTTGGAGGGTCCAGGCTGGATTCGAACCCACCAGCTCAGGTGTATTGTGGCTGGCACCTTAGCCACTTGAGCCACAGGCGCCGAGCCAAAGCTAGTTCATTTTTAATTCAAAGTAATATGAACAAATGAATATACACATGTAAAACACCCTTGTTTTTTAACTATTTGAATTAGTATACCAAGAACATTAAAAACGATAACTGCTATATAGCCCAAAAAAAAAGGAAAATACTGCAATTACTGTAGGGATTATCTTCAGATGATGATATTTGTCTTCATTTATTTTTTGGGGGGGAACAGTGTACACTATTCTCTTCATTACTATTTTCTTTTTTTTATTATTTTCTTAATTTTGTTAAATGAACCTATCTTACCTATGAAATACCCCAACCAAAAAAAGCTAGAAAATACTAAATTAAAGGGAAATAATATTTTAAAAAAACAATTAAAATAAAAGAAAATGTTTTTACATATTATCATACTGAAATAATATCATTATATTCACCTAAAAGTGAAATCAATTTATATCTGCCCCACTTCATGTCTCCATATGAATATTTTTTTGAGAGAGAGACAGTCTCACTCAGTCACCCTGGGGTTGAGTGCCATGGTGTTATAGCTCACAGCAACCTCAAACTCATGGGCTCAAGTGATCCTCTTGCCTCAGCCTCCCAAGTAGCTGGAATATAGGCACTCACCACAACACCCAGCTAATTTTTTTAGAGACAGGGTCTCACTCTTCCTCAGGCTGGTCTCAAACTCCTAAGCTCAAGCAATTCCCCCACATCAGCCTCCCAGAGTGCTAGGATTATAGGAGTGAGCCACCACACCTGGCCTCTCCATATGAATCTTAAGGTAACCACAAGTTAAATGGAGATAAAGATAGCATGACACAAAGGGTGTAACTGTCACTTCAGCATTCAACAACCTTTTGAATTTACCTTTGGCATTTTCAAAGTAAGTTGAAAACTTCATATACATATATACATATATATATATATATACACACACACAAACACACATATATACAATTACTCTAAAACATTTCCTAATGAAGAAGTTAATAGGACTTCTGCACTAATATCTGTTAAAATAATAATTCCAACACTTATAACATTTGCTGAATGAACAAATACATGTAGCAAAACTGTAATCAATCCAAAAATATATACATTACAAAAGAGAAAGAAAAAGTGAAATGTCACTGAGGACGCATAAAACTTATATTTATATTTTAAAACTTAGGAATATAGAATTAAGTTAAAGTTTTATTGTAAGAATACAACAACCTTAAAAATACAGTAGAAACAAACCTCTGTTGACCACCCAAGCAACTATAACAAACTGGTCAACACATGGAAGTAATCAACCTAAGGAACGAGGCCTAACTGTGCTGTATATACATTTGGTGCATGTCTCATCTATAAAAATAAGGTAAACTTAAGGAAGCGGTCAACTACAGAGGTTCTGCTACTGTTTATAAAACTTGGCCAGGCACAATGGCTCAAGCCTGTAATCCCAACAATCCGGGAGGCCAAGTAGGAAGGATTACTTGATACCTGAGCTCAGGAGTTCAAGACCAGCCTGAGCAAGAGCAAGACCCCATCTCTACTAAAGATAAAAAAATCAGCCAGCTGAGGAAGCACAGGCCTAGAATCCTAGACAGTTGGGAGGCTGAGTTGCTGTGAGCTACAATGATGTCACTGTACTCTACCCAGGGTTGACAGAGCAAGACTCTCTCAAAACAAATTAATAAAAATTAGTAAAACTATATAAAATGTTTAAAAGTATTAGCAAGAATTAAGAGAAAAGGGTGAACTGTTCAAAGGAATAAAATAAAGAATGAATCAGGGATAGCTAGTCATTTTCAGATTATAAGCTGACAAGTTATCTATTAGCTTTTGACAAGCCCAATATCCATTAAAAACGAGATAGTGTGGGCAGCGCCTGTGGCTCAGTGGGTAGGGCGCCGGCCCCATATACCAAGAGTGACAGTTTGGAACCTAGCCCAGGCCAGCTAAAACAGCAGTGGCAACTGTAACAAAAATAGCCATAGCTGGGTGTTGTGGCAGGCATCTGTATTCCCAGCAACTCGGGAAGCTGAAGCAAGAGCCCTAACCCAAAAGCTAGAGGTTGCTGTGAGCTGTGACGCCACAGCACTCTACCAAGGGTGACAAAGTGAAACTCTGTCTCCAAAAAAAAAAAGAGTGGGCAGCAGACATAACCAAAAGAAAACACTTTCAAACTTAACATTCATGATATACTTATATAAAACTAACAGAACTCTGAAACCAAAAATCTAACAGAATAAGCAGAATGTATTTCATAAGCCAGAATACCATCAAAACAAAACCTATACTTTTTTTTTTTCAGTGACAGTCTCACTTTATTGCCCTAGGTAGAATACCGTGGTATCACAGCTCACAGCAACCTCCAACTCCTGGGCTTAGGTGATTCTCTTGCCTCAGCCTTCCGAGTAGCTGGGACTACAGGTACCAGCCACAACACCCAGCTATTTTTTTGTTGCAGTTTGTTTGCAGGGCCAGGTTCAAACCTGCCACCTTCAGTATATGGGGCCAGCGCCCTACCCACTGAGCCACAGGCACCACCGTAAACATTCTTATTTTGCCATTAAAGGCAGAAATTCACACTCCTAAGAGTGCAAACTTTCCCTAACAATAAAGCAGTACTCTTTAAAGCATTAGATTTATTTGAATATCTTTTTTAGCAGTCTAACTTACCGAGTACCATCTGCTTTCCAGCTTACTTTATATGGCTTCTGTTCTAAAAGTTTAATATTTTGCTTGTCCATAGAAACAGGCTGTGCTCCAGGGAATCCAGACCTTACAGAAGAACATTTTATTACTATCGTGGCTGGTATCCATACAAAGCCAATACACATATTAAGCCAATTTCAAATGAATCACACATTTATCACAGTGTTCTCCCTATCAACTGGAATAGTATTAGCTTTCACAATAATGCTAATTAAACGTCATCATTTTCCTGACACTTCAGAATGCAAGTTAACAGAGTTCTAAATTGCTACTGATATAGTATAATTATTGAGCTAATTTTAAAATACTAGTATATATGATCTAAAAGCAGGTATGTTTGTAAGTCTTTTAAGAAGTTTCAATTTTCCCTCAATGACCTTATAGACCCCATATTTCTCCATCATGACACCACAACATTAAACCCAATATGATTTTATATTATTTTCATCTCTTAATTAAAATTATTTCTAGCTGATTTATCTGATATTTATGTACCAGTAAAGTTCTTTATATTAGGAATTTTTAATTAATTAATAATCCTGTTTTCTTGTATCTAGCTGTATTATAATTTTCTGCCACAGATTCCAATGATCAACAGAAATGACCACAGACTAAGATCTGAGAATAACTGCAGTGAACTCTTCTCCTGAACCCTTTCCCATGAAATTTCTCATAAATATTTTCAAGTCCTAGTAGGGAACAGGACTAAGGCTAATTAGCCTTTAAGACTAATTTAGCCAGGCTTTTGCTTATAGAAAAATGGGAAATTTTCTCCCTTAATAAATTAACAATACCAGCCCAAGCATTACTAAGCAGCAGTGGAGTCAAAGACATTAAACAAATACTAGAAAGTGCAAACTAATTTTTATTATGCTAGGAAGATATGTGAGTTATCTAATTTTGATTTAACTGTTTATTACACTGATTATCTTGAAAACTATCTGGTATCTTTTTAAGTGCTCTCTGTAAACATACTAACTTCAAGGGGCAAAAAAGCTGTCAATGTTTGCATCAATTTTAAGTGTTGCAGAGTGAGAAAAGGTTTGATATAAAACGTTAAAATATTTATTACCCTTCCCAGCCACAGAATTGATGACACTTCTGCTGTACCTCTCCTAACTTTGGTTGAGTTGTCACTTGAGTTACACCTTTAACAGTTACACCTTCCAAGAAAATAGCACCCTTTAAAAAAGAAAAAAATATATTTTATTAGAATTCAGATTTACAAAGAAGAGACTCAGAGATAAATTAGTTTATTTTCACAAATCTGAGCAAGTCAATATACATAACAAATGGTCTACTGCACAGGCAGCTGCACAAACCCCAAGGCACTGTGCACTCTCTTCTCCTTACGCCACATATGATTTTTAGTACACACAGCCTAGTGTCTAGGCAAAGACGCCTACAGGCACTTCTCAGTAATCACAACAGTAATCATTTATCTGGTGTTTACTGAGAGCCAAGCAGACTGCCTGGCATTTTTACAAATTTTCACCCTCAAGCCCAACAACAATGAAAAAGAAATTGTAGGCTCAGCGCCTGTGGCTCAAGGGGCTAAGGTGCCAGCCACATACACCTAAGGTGGCGGGTTCAAATCCAGCCTGGGCCCGCCAAACAACAATGACGCTGCAACCAAAAAATAGCCAGGCATTGTGGCGGGTGCCTGTGCTCCCAGCTAGTTGGGAGGCTGAGGCAGGAGACGCGCTTGAGCCCAGGAGTTGGAGATTGCTGTGAGCTATGATGCCATAGCACTCTACCCAAGGGGACAGCTTGAGGATCTGGTCTCAAAAAAAAAAAAAGAAAAGAAAAAGAAATTGTATTAGATTTCTTTCACAAGATCAGAAAATAAAACATAAAGATTTTATATATTTACTTAATCAGCAAAAGAATCTAAACACAGGCCTACCAATAAGGTTGAGAGGAGAGGAATTGTATCATTATGGGTGGAATATGAGTTCCAAGGGGGTAAACACCCAAAATATATGCTTTTGTAATGTAGAAAAAGAGTATAACAGCAGGATTGAGGCAGGCATGTGGCTCCACCTATAATCCCAGAACTCTGGGAGGCCAAGGCAGGAGGATCACTTGAGCCCAGGAGTCTGAGGTTGCTGTGAGCTAACAGCGCCACAGCACTCTACCCAGGGCAAAAGAGTAAGACTCTGTTTCAAAAAATAAAAAAAAATAAAAACCAGTATAACAGTAAGTTGTCAAAATGACTAAGCCACAGTCAGGGGGTCAACAGAAAATTAAGTATAATTCATCATTATTTTTAATCTGAATTCTTTAACTCAGAAGTATATAAAGTATTTCATAAAAAGCATATTTTTGAATTATCAGAAAGAAGTGAAGCAGATGGAGAATTTATATGTCAAACAAATAAGGAAATTTTAAAAACTAAACAAATAGTCTAGATTTATGCTATACAATTACTTTCAGACCCATCAGTCTCAAGGAATAACTATAAAACAACTACAGCTGTCAATGTAATTAGGAAATAAAAAATATAGTCTACAAACTATAATGATCAACCTCTGGCAAAGACTTGGTAGCTCAAGTCACTTGGAAGGGAAAACAACACTTAATATTTAGTTCACATACATCCCTATCTCGTCTAGAAGAATACTGTGTCCTTCCAGCAGACACTGGTCCTATTCTTTGCTCCTAATTCTTTTCTTTCTTTTTTTCTTTTTTTATTTAGAGACAGAGTTTCACTTTGTCCCCCTCAGTAGAGTGCCATGTCGTCACAGCTGACAGCAACCTCCAGCTCTTGGGCTTAGGCAATTCTCTTGCCTCAGCCTCCCGAGTAGCTCTGACCACAGGCCCCTGCCACAACACCTGGCTATTTTTTTGTTGCAGTTTGGCCAGGGCTGGGTTTGAACCTGCCACTCTTAGTATATAGGGCCGGCACTCTACTCACTGAGCCACAGACACTGCCCTTTTGTTCCTAATTCAAAATCACTTTTTTATATTTATCAATCCTCCATTTTCTTTTTCTTAAATGATAATAACTTTGGGATTTCACAGCCAAAGGATCAAAGAGTACCCTCTCTCTCATGTGATACCATCACCTCTTAACTAGTCAATATAATTTCTATTTTAAAACCATTTCTCCAGCCTAAGCAAAAGCAAGACCCCATCTGTACTAAAAATAGAAAAACTAGCTGGATGTGGTAGTGGGCATCTGTAGTCCCAGCTACTTGAGAAGCTGAGGCAGGAAGATCACTTGAGCCCAAGAGTTTGAGGTTGCTATGAGTTATGACACCACAGCACTCTACCCAGGGCAACAGAGTGAGACTGTATCAATCAATCAATCAAGGAATCAATCAATAACCAACCTTTTCTAGCATCAAGTATAGTAACTAAAAGAAAAAAGTTTCTGCTTTTTTTTGTTTTTCCTGATCAAGCAGGCCTAGACCAGGTTTAAATCCACCACCCCTGGTGCACAGGGCCAGCGCTTTACCCACTAAGCTACAGGTGCCCGGCCAAGAAAAAAGTGTTTTTAAAGGAAAACTCAACTAGGTAGAAGAGGTTTATAACATATTTAGTTTTCAAGAATACTCGGACAATTTCAATATTCTTATAAAATCATATCTTGGGTGTGGTAATTAAAAAGAGAACACTCAGAGAGTTCAATGTTCAACATCTTTATTCTGAAGTTATTAATGGCATTGTAAGTTTTAAATGAAGAAAGTATCTATCTTGATTTATAAATATGTATTTTCTAAGCAAAGTTAAGATGTACATATAATTTCTGAAATGGGCAAACTAAAAATATTAGGATAGGTGTCCTAAAAACACTAACATTACTTCTTTTTTAAAATAATAAAAAGGACTGAAACAGAAAATCTGATCAGCTTTCAACCAAGTATATTCCTGTAATATTTTACAAAAATATATAAATAATATTTTTGTGTAGTTGAACAAGCTGAATATTTTTAACTTAACAGAGCTAATAAATATTGAGCATCAGTACAGGTTTAACACTATTGGGTGCAGTTATAAAAGGTAACCCCAATCAGCCAGTAAATGTCTCTATCCATTTAATTTTCTTCTTCCTTAATCTTTCCTACCATGCATCAATTTCTTTACTTTCTATAGCTTCCCCTATTTTCTTTTGCATTATATATTAAGTAAAAAGAAAGGCAAAAATAAGTCCAATAATAATGTAAGTATGATGTACTTTATACATAAATTTGTTAACTTAAGGCTAACGTGATTTGCTGCTTAATGCCATTACAGTAGTATCCTCTGAAAAAAATATTCATTTTTACATTTTTCAAAATTATGTGGTAACTCCAAGAAAGATCATTAAATCTCAATTATCGAAAATAGTTTCCAGGCTCAGCACCTGTAGTTCAAGCGGCTAAGGGGCCAGCCATATACACCAGAGCTTCCAGGGTTCAAATCCAGCCCAGGCCTGCCAAACAATGACAACTACAACTAAAAAATAGCTGGGTATTGTGGCGGGTGACTGTGGTCCCAGCTACCCGGGAGGCTGAGGCAAGAGAATTGCTTAAGCCTAGGAGCTGGAGGTTGCTGTGAGCTGTGAGGCCACAGCACTCTACCCAGGGCAACAGCTTGAGGCTCTGTCTCCAAAAAAGAAAAAAGAAAATAGTTTTCCATACCCAAGATCTAGTTTCTAAATTAGAACTAAATTTGTTTCTAAACAAATGTTGTTTCTAAATTAGAACTAAAGTCATTGACATTTATTTTCACTTGTCAACTAATTATTTCAGTTTGTGACAAAAAAGAAAAATCAAAAGTGAAAAGATAATGTATGTTTAAAATGGAAGAAGTATATTTCATAAACAGAGTCTACCAGCCTTATGATTAAAAATTTGTATGGTTATTTTGAACAGATGAAAAAGGAATAAGTAATCCTTTAAATCAGAAAGAAATTTAGGAAATTAATTCAGAAGCTGAGGGCAATTCATATGTGTGTCTGTGTGCATAAAGAAAGAACTTATAGGCGTGCGTATGTGCAATAAGTGTACTTTCATAATGAAAAAAATACATTAATGGCTTTATTCCAGAAAATGATCTTAGACATCAAAGGAGCAAGCCAACATCCCTGTAAGTCATACTGTTCCAACTCAGTAATGGCTCAAAAGATAAATAAAGAAGGTATCTTAGGAAAGTGAAGGGCCAAGCACAGAGCATGCACCATTGTAAAGCTAAACAGAACCATCAAAATTCACTCCAAGGACTCCATTACTTCAAGTTACAGTCACATCAATATGAGTCAGGAAAGAAGGACTTTATTTAACAAATAAAGTCTCAAGCCAAAATAACCTCATTATATCAAGAGATGTAAGCCTACAAATGAATTAATCACTTTGGGGTTGCCTCTGTTAATTATCTTTAGCCTCAGATAGAAATAGAAGGAAAATGAAAGCTTTCCCAAACGTGAATTTGACAATTAATTACACCTATGCTTCTCATCTCTGTCAACCATGTCAACCATTGGCGTCACTCACAATTCTTTTTTTCTTTTGAGACAGAGCCTCAAGCTGTCCCCCTGGGTAGAGTGCCATGGCATTATAGCTCACAGCAACCTCCAACTCCTGGGCTCAAGCAAGTCTCCTGCCTCTGCCTCCCAAGTAGCTGGGACCACAGGCGCCCGCCACAATGCCCGGCTATTTTTGGGGGGCCACAGGCACCCGCCACAACACCCGGCTATTTTTTTGGTTGCAGCCATCATTGTTGTTTGGCGGGTCCAGCTGGATTCGAACCTGCCACCTTAGGTGTATGTGGCTGGTGCTTTAGCCAATTGAGCTACAGGCGCCGAGCCGTCACTCACAATTCTTAGTTACCTTTCCTCTCTAATGGTTTTGCTTTAGTGCCCCTTTTCCTGAGTTCATCTTACCAATAATTGCTTTCTCAAAAGAGTTCCAACATAAACCCCGCAATTCATTTTTTTTTATAAATAACTTTCCCCTATAACCTCAACCTTCTTCTTAAATATCACACCCCGTGTCTTAACTAAAAGCTGGCTCTCCTTAGGGAGATCACTTCTCTCTTAAAGCCACTTAATTCTCCCACTGCTCAAGTCCCATGAAAGTGGTATAAACTACTACATATTCTTACTGATTTCCTAATCTCTTTCAAATCTCTATTCCATTTAGACTAACTCCATTCAGCTATACCACACTGCTGTAGGAAAGACAATATCCACTATGGAT